GGAGGGGGGGGGGGGGGGGGGGGGATTTTGGGGACCGAAATGGCGCGCTGATTGAAGAGATTTTGCTTGACAAAAGAAACTTGAAATTGTAAAGCCCTTACCCTTATTTCAAAAAAAAAAAAAATTATAGCAGTGTTTTAAAATTTTAATTAGTTTTTTTTTCTCAAAAATATATTTTAAATAATTAAATAAAACGAATTTAGGTGTGGAAATTTTAATCAAAGGAAGGAGAAAGTGCCTCTATAGTTTTTCATATGTGAATCCATCCATTCATTCACGATAATTATGTTTGCTATATTTTACAAATTACAATTGTATAAGAATTTTGGTGAATCGTCAATAACAGTTATCTACAATAATATTAATTGCTGTTTTTATATGAAATGAATACAAAAATTTATTTCACCAGAATAAAAAATGACACGAGATAGAGAATATAATATATGCTCATGCAAACAAGGTAGATCCATACTCTCCACTCCATTTAATATAAATATATACTGACTTGCAAATCGTAACCTAAAGTCCACACGGGGTCACGGGCTACATTCAAGTTATTATCACGATATATAAATTCAATTTTTGGCAAGGCTTGCTTGTAAACCGTATCTTGATATAAATTAGGCGCGAGAACCAAAAATAATTTATGTCAAACTTATATAAATGATTGATTTTCACATAATCCGTATAAATTGTTAAATTATTAAAAACCGAAATCAATTTAATAGATTTGTCCAAAAAAAAAATTTGTTGTTGAAAAAATGAAATTCAGTACGCTTAATAATTATACAAAATCGAAATTATTAGAGGAAACGTTAAACTTTGAAGATATTTTTTGTGTTCTTTTTTTTAAAATTAACATATTATTTACGATGATATTAATTTTTTTATTCATATCAACCAATATCGCGTTTGTATAGATTTGCAAAAGAAAACAACGTGTAGATCTGGAATATAATATTTACGAAACTGTAAAATTTTAATTCGAATTTTTTGGAACTATAGTTTAAAATGTGTACATGTTAAAAATATCTGTTTTTAGCCAATGAAATATCATTATTAATTGTTTCATTAGGTTTCTCGCTAATCTTGACTTAACATATAATATTAGAGCTTGTAAGTTGTAACGAAGGACAGGCATTGGTATTTTTGCTTTTAAAGACCATTAAAATTCATCAAAAAACCACTTACCAACTTTAAAAGCCACTAGAATAAAAAAGGAAAAGAGAAATAACTGAATGCATTATATAAATTAATTTATGTTTACATATAGTAACGTCATAAATCGTACTAAAATAATTTATTATATATTCACTTTAAAATAGTTTATCTATAAATTTTTTTTTTCTGAAAAAAGTTTCTTAAATCAATTTGGTAATTGGTTATAGATTTTTTTGTTTAAGATAGCATAGATATTTTTAAAATTAGCATAGATATTTTTTAAATTAGCAATAAACAACAAGGAATGTAGAAATATAATTATATAATAATAAGGCTTTAGAAACAGATCCAAACACGACAAGTAACATCAAACTTTTTTTTTCTCTTTATATAAATCAAACTTTAATAACAACAAAATGTGAAAGGAACGCGTCTCTGGTAAATTAGCTCTCATTTCTCAACACCTCACAACAAAAACAGGAGAAAATTACTTTATTATCCCCAAATTACAGAAACCATTGAGGACAATTCCGTCAATTTACAAAAACAAAAGACACCAAAAAAAGGAAAGTCACCGAATCCGGCTTCCAAAGCGTCTGCTCTCTCTCTCTCGATATATAATCATCACCTTCCTTCGCCATGTGAACTTTGTCTCTTCTCTTTTCACATCGAATCTTCGAAACGTACTGGGAAGGATGAGATTTCTAGTACCAGTGACTATCGTGTTGCTAATCTGTGTTAATGTTGCTGCATCTGATTACGTCAGACCTAAACCTCGTAAGAACTTGGAGTTTCCATGGGATCGCAAGCCTTCTTCTCAACCGCAGCAGGTGAAATTCAACTTCTGGGTCATGGATTTGATGCGTTTCTTGTTACTGGGTTCTTTCAAGTTTCTGTTTTTATGGTCTGATGTTCTGATAGATTCCCTCGGGAAAATTACATTTGGGGTGATACTTCTCTGGTAAATCTCAGTTGTTTGTTTGTTGCTTTGCTTCTGGTGTTTTTTCAATCGCTTCATTTGACTGGCGCCGTGAATTTCTACATCATGCGGTGACGTGTGTCTCGATTCCGGCGAAGTCTTGTACTGAAAAAGTTCAGCTTCTGGGTCATGAATCATGATGTTTGGATTTCATCCGTTTCTTGACACTGGATGCTGTAAGATTTCTGTTTTTCTAATGATCTGATATTCGTCTTTCTTGGGGGAGCACTTTCTGTTTGTTCCTCGGGAAAGTTGCATGTGTGGTGATGCTTCTCTGGCAAATCTCTGGATTCCCTACTCTAATTAAGCTTCTGGGTCCTGGATTTTGTCATGGAATTCTGGATTTGAACCGCTGCTTGACATTGGGTGCTATAAAATTTCTGTTCTCTTTATGGCCTGATCTTTGTTTTTCTTTACAAGCAGTTTCTGTTTGTTTCTCGGGAAAGTTCTATTTTGGGTATCTCGGGAAAGTTCCATTTTGGGCAATACTTTTGCAGCCAATTCTCCGCCAAATGCATTGCTTTTGAAGCCTTTTTTTTGGTGTGTTTAATTGTTGTTCCAAGTGTATGATACTATGATTTTAAAGAGATCATTCATGTTTGTTTTAAATTCCTTTGGCCCTTGATTCTTACAATGTATACTGCAGGTGCATGTCTCATTGGCTGGGGATAAGCATATGCGAGTGACATGGGTCACTAGTGATAAATCTTCGCCTTCCATGGTAGGGTATGGAACATCAGCAGGGCGATACGATTATATGGCTCAAGGAGACAGCACTTCATACAGCTATGTATTGTATAAATCGGGGAAGATACATCATACAGTCATTGGGCCACTGGAACCAAACACTGTATATTTTTACCGTTGTGGGGGAGAAGGGCCTGAGTTCCAGCTGAAAACGCCTCCAGCTCAGTTCCCGATCACTTTTGCAGTGGCTGGGGATCTGGGGCAAACCGGTTGGACCAAGTCAACTCTAGATCATATTGATAAGTGCAAATATGAGGTGAATCTTCTTCCCGGGGATCTTTCATATGCCGACTATATGCAGCATAAATGGGACACCTTTGGAGAGCTGGTTCAGCCTCTAGCGAGTGCTAGGCCATGGATGGTGACACAAGGAAATCATGAAAAAGAGAGTATTCCCTTTCTAATGGATGAATTTGTGTCTTACAACTCAAGGTGGAAGATGCCTTATGAGGAGAGTGGATCAAGTTCGAATCTTTACTACTCTTTTGAGGTTGCTGGTGTCCATGTGATCATGCTTGGCTCATACACGGATAACGACCCAGGCTCGGATCAATATAATTGGTTAAAGGTGAGAATTCTTCTATCACCATTGACTTGTCAGGAGTAGGATCCCATCCATGATTTGTCCATAGAAGAGATTCTTACATCATTCCCTTTTCATGTTTTCCTGTTTGAATTGGAAGAACGTTGTCAATAACTGTCTTATCCTAACAATATTTTGCAGTCCTATGATCAGATTCTGCTATATTTGACAAGTAAATTCGTTATTTTGGATGTCATGTAGGCTGATCTCGCGAAGGTGGACCGGGAAAGGACTCCATGGCTAATAGTCCTTTTCCATGTGCCATGGTATAACAGTAACGAAGCTCATCAACATGAAGGTGATGATATGATGGCTTCAATGGAGCCTCTGCTTTATGCTAGTGGTGTGGATATTGTATTTACCGGTCATGTCCATGCTTATGAACGAACGGTGCGTAGAAAAAACCTTCATTTGCTTCTATCTATCTTCGTGTTTCATGTGATATTAACATTGATTTTTCGACTTGGGTTTCACTGGTTTGACAGAAACGTGTAAACAATGGTAAATCAGACCCGTGTGGCGCTGTACACATAACTATAGGAGATGGAGGGAACAGAGAAGGACTTGCTCGCAAGTAATTCCTAAAAATCGATTTCATTTCTTCACGTCGTTCTTTCTTCGTTCTTCGTATCCTCGTTTACACACAAACCCTGTTTTTGCGAAAAGCCTTGACCCATAGTATAATGACCGGGTTACTTAACTAAACTTGCGGGTTTTGAGTGTTGTTGTTTATATAAAGGAGGCGACAGTTTTTACAGCTCGGGTGAATATGATCGTAATTTTTGCAGGTATAAAGATCCACAGCCTGAGTGGTCAGTGTTCCGGGAAGCAAGCTTCGGACATGGTGAGTTTCAGATAGTGAACTCAAGCCATTCTCTGTGGACATGGCACAGGAACGACGATGACGAGCCAGTTAGATCGGATCAGGTCTGGATTACCTCTTTGATGAGTTCTGGCTGCAGGGTCGAGAAAAGGCACGATGAACTTCGGAAAAGACTCATGGGACCTTGAAAATCACCGTTGTGGGAACCTGCAGTAATAGAGTTCTGTATGTGTGTGTATATATGTATGAGAGATCTACACAACATGGTTATGTATTACAAGTAGTTGTTGTACTTTGCTTCTGAAGCACAGACACTGCTGTTGTTGTTGTCTACGTTTTGCCATTGGATTTCAAAAGAGTATTTCTAATCCAATCTTGATGGAAACTTTAGTGTTTTGCTGAGATTTAAGATTTTATGAAAGACTTCTTGTATCTTAGCATGAATATTGTTTAAGAAAATATGGTATTAAAAAGTTTCTTATAATGAACAAAATTAAGTTGTTTTTGGTTTAATTCATTAATTTTTTTTTGAAAAGTTAAAATGATATTATTTTGACTGTTTTGTATGGTTTGGATATTTGAATTTAAAATATAAAAAAATCTGTATGAGAGTTTCAAAATTTGAAGAGTTAAATGTGGAATTGCATGAATTTTGGATATTATACATAAATAAATATATATATATAAATATATATATTTGCAGTGTGTGATTAAAATGTAACCAATCTGTTTAGGTAAACAAATAATCATGGGCCGCGAGTGGAGCCGAAGTGGGTAGTTGTCAGCCGTTGACGAAGCGAGCCTTTTCCACGCGCTCACCACGCTCACCATCATCATCATCTTCAAACGATTTAGGATCAACACAAATACCTGTGACTTTCTTCATCAATCCGCGAAAACCCAGTTTCCATTTTCCCGAGAAATTCATACCCATTCCGACAAAATGCACGATTTCTGCTTCACGATCCCGTACGGGATGCTCCTCGTCGGCGGAGGTGTTTTCGGGTACTTGAGGAGAGGGAGCACCGTATCTCTCGCCGGAGGTGTTGGAACCGGATTCTTGCTCATCCTCGCTGGGTATCTCAGCCTCAAGGCCTTCGAGAAGAAGAAGAATTCGGCTCTCGCCCTGATTATCGAGACAGGTTTTGTGATGATTTCTTTTTCCCATTTTTTAATCCGATTGTCTCTGGCTCTCTGCTGCGTTTTAACGATCTCAATTTTTTTTAGATTTCGTTTAAACTTGAGCCATGTTTAGTTCGATCGTAGTTTTCGTTCGTGTATCCATAGGAAATCGAGATCAACTTTGTCCTGGTTGCTACATCGATAATCCAAAGCGAGAGCTTTTGACACAAATCTTCCCTGTGTTTGTGTTAGAAATGATTCGTAGAGTTAATATCAGAAGCTAAGTTGTTTGTGTTAGAAATGATTCGTAGAGTTAATATCAGAAGCTAAGTTGTTGGCTTTTGGGGAGAAAATGGTTGGATATGGATCATTGATCTATTGGGCTTTGTTTATGATTCATGGTTCTTGTCAGAAACTTGTTTCTTCATGTTCATGCTAGGTTATTGCTTGCAAGTTGAAAGGCCAAGTTATATTGATGCCCAGATCTTATTGGATTGGTTGATAGGCCAAGTTATAACTCCATCCGTGTTGAAGATGAAGTTATGAACATTTTTCTTGTGTTTGGATCTTAGATTATAGTGATATTTCAGTGGCTTGCTATGGTATCACCTTTGTTCCTACATAAAGTTTGTCTTTCTCGAAACGGTACTCTGTTGCTTTCAACAAATGCAAAGGGTTGTTGCCATAGGTGATTAATGATAATTGCTAGCTAATGGCTGAAAGGTGCTGTTTTATTTGATTTTCGTAAAGACCGTGTCAGTGTGTCTGTAGACTAGATTCTTAGAACTTAGATGTTGTCATCATCGGTTGAAAACTTGTGCACTCTTTTGTTTTCTTCCCTTTGTGGATCTTCGTTAGCTACTTTATTCACCTGAATGTCTCGTGTTCAGTATGTGCTGCCGCTCTTACTTTAATCATGGGACAACGTTTCATGCTAACTCAAAAGATTATGCCGGCTGCCGTGGTTGCTGGGATCAGGTAATACACTATGTATTACGTTCTTCCATTTTATAGTTACGTCGATATAGGCTATATAGGCTGTGAGTGTTAAAATAACCCAAAACAAACCATCTGTTTGTGTTTGATGCCCTTACAGTGCTCTCATGACCGGGTTTTACGTTTACAAAATTGCGACTGGCGGCAATCACATTCCATCGAAAGCTGAATAATGGGTTCTTTACTCGGGTTTCTGTGGATGTATACGACAAGTCTTTGTTGATGGGATGGTTATATGATACTTTCTTGATTTTTTTTATCAGAAATCTTCAATGTGTAGACAATACTGTTGTGGTTATGCTTTGAAACAAGTGCTTGATTTTGCGTTTCTGAGAAGTCAGTTATCTGTTTGAGAAGCACTCTCTATCCATTGGCAATGGATCATAAGATAAAATATGTACACTAAAGTAATATTCCTTTTTGAAAACACAAGTTGGCGTCCCGTTTTCAAAAGCGAAACTATTCTCACAGTTTAGGAAATGAATGCAATCAGTGTTTTTCCAAAAGAAAGAGGAGCTTTCTAATAAAAGAAAAAGTTGCAGTAGTAGACTGAAACCGTGTTAATGCAAGGGTTTTCCAAACTAAGCATGAAGTGTTTTCTGTGGGGCAGCTTCATGAGCAACCCACCAATAATATACCAAACTTCTTTGTAACATTGATTCACTAATCTCTGTAGAAGCTCTCAGCAAAATCTCTCTGACAGATCAAGCTGAAGGAAATCAATGGTGACAATGGCTTGTTCTGCTGCTGCAGTCCTCCTGTTTCTGATCCATTTCTTCACTCTACAGACAACTTCTTCAAGTTCGTGGTTGACACTGAACGGTCAGACACAGAAGAGTTTCAGTTGTTGAACATGGATCTTGATGTTATAATCTTGTCTGTTTTTAACCATTTTGATCCTAAATTTGTCACAGGAGAGCCTCCAGTGGTCATTGCAAGAGGTGGGTTCTCTGGCATGTTCCCGGATTCCTCTATAGTGGCATATGATTCGGCAACAGTGACAAGTACACCAAACGTAACGTTGTGGTGTGATCTGCAGCTTGCAAAAGATGATATCGGGTTTTGTTTCCCTCATCTAAGTTTTGAAAATGGGTCTAACATCGAATATGTATTTCCCGGTCAGAAGAAGTCTTACATCGTCAATGGTGTTCCTTCAAAAGGCTGGTTTCCCGTTGATTACACAATAGATGAACTCTTTACTCTGACATGTAAGTTGAACGTTCTCTCTAAATTTGCTAGGTTTGGTTCAGTATCTTGTTTGTTGCAGGTGGAAAAAGGCATTGTTTCCTTGTATCCATTCGTATGCCATGGCTGAAAAGTTTTTTTTTAGAGTGAAGTTTTCTCGTTCCGTGCTTCGGTGGATCACTAATTCAATGCATGCCCGACCCTTTCTAGTCCTGTGATCTGAATTTTCTGAAACTAAGGCTGTTTAACAGTTTTATCTCGACTTTTTCTTGTTTACTGAAAAGTCGTTCTGCATATATCGCCGAATTTTATCTTTCAGCATTGCACAATGTTACAAACAACTGTCACAAGTGAGATTTTTTTCTTACTGGAACAGTGACCCAAGATATTTATTCAAGACCACCGATTTTTGATGACATTTACAGCATCGCAACTGTCGAAGAGGTAGCCAACGCAAGCTCAAGCCTCTGGTTAAACATTCAGGTAATCTCTAGTGTCATTTCTCCCGGTTTTTGAACAAGAGCAGTGTCATTTCTTCTTCTTCTTCTTCTTCTTCTTCTTCTTCTTCTTCTTCTTCTTCTTCTTCTTCTACGTGCATCTTCTCGGTCCTGTTTAAGCTAACCTTTTGAGTTCCAACACTTTTTTCAGCACACTGCTTTCTACTCACAACACAATTTGAGTATGAGAAACTATGTTCTGTCTGTGTCAAAACATGTAGCTGTAAGCTACATATCATCCCCAGAGATCAGTTTCTTGCAGTCCATCAAGAAGAATTTCGCACGGCGCATGACAAAGCTCATATTCCGGTTTTTAGAGCAAGACGAGATCGAGCCCTCAAGCAACCTTACCTATGGCCATCTTATGAAAAACCTCAGTTACATAAGAACATTTTCTTCAGGGATTCTTGTTCCAAAGTCTTTCATATGGCCTGTAGATGCGGAGTTTTACCTTCTACCCCACACTTCGCTTGTCACCGACGCTCATAAAGAGGGTATAGAAGTTTTTGCCTCAGAGTTTGCCAATGATGTCTTATTTGCCTATAACTACAGCTACGATCCATTGGCTGAGTATTTATCTTTCATCGACAATGGAAATTTCTCTGTTGATGGCATCTTATCAGATTATCCAATCACTCCCTATCAAGCCATCAGTAAGACAAAACTCCTCCGCTATCGCTTTTTGTCTTGTTCTTGTATAGACATTCAGAAGCTAGAAAAATTGACATTCCTGTCTGAATCTTTGTTGTCTTGATCCACAGATTGTTTTTGCCACTTGAACACTGATGCAAAACAACGAGGTACATTGGCTGGCTTATTTGGCGGTACAAAAAATTCATATAAATTGACATTCTGATTAACCCGTTTTGCATGCAGGGGAGTTTTCTATCATTTCCATGAATGGAGCGAGTGGAGACTACCCCGGTTGTACAGACCTGGCATATCAGAAAGCTGTAAATGACGGAGTTGACATCCTTGATTGCAATGTCCAGATATCAAAGGACCAGGTCCTCTTTTGCTTGAGCTCGATAAATCTTCTCAACAGTACAGACGTTGCTCAAACAAGCTTTAGAAATCTTTCGGTTTTAGCTCCAGAGATTCAGAAGGAAAGTGGAATCTACACATTTAGCCTGCCAATGTCTCAGATACGCACTTTGAAGCGTAAGTCCATCTAAAACTCGATGAATTCCGCTGGTTCGTGAACACTTTTTTGGAGACTATATCTTAAACTGGTTTTGTTTCCCTCAATGCAGCCGCGATTTCGAATCCTTATATGTGGACCAAGTTATTCAGAAATCCAAGAAACAGAAATGCTGGAAGGTTTCTTATATTATCCGAATTCCTCTCTCTTGCAAAGAATTACAGTTCTCTTTCAGGCATCATTATAAGAGTCGAGGTGAGTGATCTTGAGAATGTTATGAATACCGACATAACTTTGCGTTACGTCCAAATTATCTGAACAATAACGTTTGTTATTTTTTCAGAACGCAGCGTATTTGGCGGAGCATCAAGGACTTGGCATTGTCGATACTGTATTGGACGAGTTGAGGAAATCAAGTCAGAAAAACCAGACAGGTCCAAGAATACTGATCATGTCCAGTGATATCTCTGTCCTAAGGAAGTTCAAGGAGGCTACAAATCATGAGCTGGTCTATGAAGTTGACAGAAACATCCGTACTATTTCCGACTCAGCTGTCCGAGACATCAAGAAGTATGCAAGCTCTATCGTTATCAGTAAAAGATCGGTATACCACCAAATGAGCTACGGCTTTATCACGAGGGCAACGCCTGTTGTTAAGATGCTCAAATCGCATAAGCTACGTGTCTACGTTGAGACATTTAGCAATGAGTTCGTGTCCCAAGCTCAGGATTTTTTCTCTGACACGACAGTGGAGATAAACTCGTTCGTCAATGAGATGGGCATCGATGGCCTCATCACCGACTTCCCGGCAACTGCTGCAAGATTCAGAAGTAAAGTCTCCCTTTTCTGTCTCTTCTCTGATAGAATATATACAGAAAGTTTCATTTTTACTTGAGTAAATCTGATTAAAAATATTTCATTGATGTCGTGGTAGGGAAACGATGTGATATGAGTCTGGTCCCAACTGGAAGGGAGAAATTGTTGGATTTGGCGAATGAAAAGAGTCTGCCACCAGCCCAGGCTCCATACCCTTCACTGAAGGAATCTGATATCGACGAGCCACCGTTGCCAGACGTGATTCAGCCGTCTGCTCCGGTGGATGTGAAGGCACATGCCAAAGCTATATGCTTTTCGTTTTCTGTTGCTTTGGCTATGCTTTTGAGCTCTTTTATGTGACATCTTCGCACAATCCTTCATATGGGTTTAGTTCGTTTGTGTATTTTGTAACAAGATTGATGACCCTTGTGAGCGAATCATCAAACTTCTATAACAAAACATTCAATCTCTGCAAAGTTGGAATGATTCTACTGGGAGATTGTGATTTATGCCTAACCGAGTTCTAGAAAGCGTATATACATGGAAATATGCAAGACACTTCCTTCTTTGATTTGACAAAACAAGTTAAAACCGAGCAGAAACTCCTCCTCTGCTCTGTTTTCTGGTTATCCATTCTCGTATCTCCGCCAAATTCTTCTTCAGCTCCAACACTTGCATCTCGAGCTCCAGTCCTGGCACCTCTACCGAATGCTTATTCGGTCCGTAACATCCATCGATATCCGCATGTTCTGTGGCAATACTAACTACCATTCCATCACCAAAATCATCTTCTCTCTCGACACCATTATCCAACAGCTCATTAGAATTTGTCAGATTATCAATCTGTTCACTGCATTTCTTTGTTTCTCTGGTTCCAAACCCATTTCCCTCAGCACCATTTCCTTCATTGCTCTCCATCTTTGATTCATCAGATGGGTTCTCCATCATTATCTTCTTTTCTTTACCTACAGCTTCATCATGTTCCTCGCCTTTTTGCCTCATTTCAGGCGGTTCATTGTCCACTGATATCGCCTTTTGAGGAGGGTCGAAAGAGTAGTTCTCCTCCATGTGCTTCGTCCTTTTGGCAACTGGTTCATCTGCATGTCCTCCTCTTTCTTCAACATCACAAGGCTTCCTGCAATATTTGATTATTTGGGCGATGGTAGGGTTGTCAATGTCGTCTTCTGCGCTCTCTGACAAAACCCGATTCTGACAGTAACCACTAGAACTTGGTTCCACCCCATCAGCTGTGTCCATGCTCAAAGACTCGTCCTTGTTTCTATTGGATCTCAAAATTTCAGCAGCTGCAATTCTATTCTTTCTGAACTTGTGTTTCTTACTCCGTTTGCCTTTTGAGACAAAGCCTGGAGGAACAAAACCACGGTTTTCCAACTCCTTCTGAAACACAAAACTTAGAGGCAGTTCTTTGGCAGATTCATGGTCACCTGTGTTACATGCTATAAAAGTTTCGGATAATTCTGTCCATGTCGCTGAAGAACCGTGACATTCTGGCGATTTCTTAAACCACTCTAAGTATCTTGCAGTAACAAGAGGTGTGGAATGGCGTGAAGGAATGTATAACTTCAAACCATTCATAGGCCTGTTGTAGTAATCACATGATGCCCATTGCACCGACTCGCTCTGATTAGCGTGACCAGGAAGATCTTGATCAATCCCAAACTGCAAAGCCACCCTATTTGGATGGTAATTCTCTACACAATTTATCCCGAAAAGCTGAGACACTCTCAAACACTGAGCAAACGATACAAATTCATCATCAAGATTGGGATTGATCTGAACCCACGTCCCTTCTTCTGCATAAAACCGTGGAAAGTTCCAGTTTTTCACTCTCTTAGTGTATGGCCGCCAATCGAAACTTTCAGTCCCCGAGTTAGCCAGACGCTGCTTCACATTCACCGATTTGTGTTTCAGATGGTGCCACCGAGCCAATCTAGGCTCACCCTTTCTCAACTTCCTGGGTTTAGGCCTCAGTTTGCTGAACCTCTCCCATGACCAAACCTGAACTAGGCTAAACAATGAGGACAGGACGAGTTTCGATTTAGACAAAGAACGAATATGATTCTTTAACGAATCCAAATCTTGGTACAGGCCTGCAAGAACAGCAGGAGCAAGAGCAATCCTGGTACCTCTGGCAAGATGAATCGCAATTGGGATAACGTCTTTGGTAAATTTACAATGACGAGATGGGAAAACGAAGTTGGAAAGCCACGAGACAAGAAAAGCTTCATGCTCAAGCTCAATCTCATCACTATTGTTCATGAATCTTGATAGCCAAGACACCTGATTCACATGCCCTCTACCTTTGGTGATCTCCAACCAGACCTTGTCAAGCTTCTTCTTTGTCTCTCTCTTTTCTGAGCTCTCGAGAGGAGCGAAAACAGGAGAACCCAAAACAGAGAAACCTAGAAGGATCATCACATCTTCAAGTGTTACAGTTGCTTCACCAAAGGAGAAAATGAATGTCTTGGTTTCAGGACACCATTTCTCAGCAACAGCGAGAATCAGATCTCTGTTTCTATGGATTCTATAGGTTGAAGCCATGATTGCGCAAAAAATTCCAGCTTTTTCCCAAGTGGGTTTATGCAGAGCAGCCATTTTTTCAACCCACAACATGAATTCCTCGTTCGCTAACTTCCATCCCGCGAAAGAGACCCTAAAAGGCAAAAGCTTTACGTCTAACGGTGGAGAGATAGCTTCACATGGCAGCTCAGGAGCAGGGTCATCAATGGCGGTAACAAAGGGTTTTAGGAAATAGGCTTTTCTCAGAATAGGGTTTTTCTCAGATTGAAGAACCATGAACTCTTCTCTCTCTTCGACAAGATCATCAGATGACGATTTCTCCATAATCTCAAAAGACAGAAAGCAAAATCAAAGTGATCAAACTACAGTTGTTCTTCTTTGAAACCTAGAAATGCCATTCATAAACCTCAGAGCCTTTTCCCTTAGTCTTCAAATTATTTCCTTCTCCTCAAGCTTTGATCTTTCAGTAAAAAGCTTCCATCTTTCTCAGATCGCCTTGTTGCATCTGCGTATAGACAATTTTCTTAAACAAAACAAATTAAATTTCATAAAAAAAAAGGGCTGCTTTTTTCGTGTTTTGATCGCTGACGTGTGAGGAAGTTTAAAAGACGAAAAAGATGGCGCAGGTTCGGGAAGACAGCGAGACGAATTAGCATGAGGTTATGAAGATACATTCTATTTTAAAAAATAAAAATGGATAATAAATTTATTAGATAAAAAAAAACATTCCTACCTTAACTTCCATAAAAATTCATATTTTCCTCTACATAATGTAATTTTTAAGTTATTTCCATTTTTTGTTGGTTACAAAACTATATATATATTAGATGGTATTGAGAGTCAAGCTATTCTATTCTCTAGGATAAAATTTTCCAAACCATTTTGAATTAAAAAAAACGATTGTGTATAAAAAAAATTTAATTCATTTGAACCAGAGACAAAACATTAGAATAGATGGAAAAACGAAAATTAAAAATTATATATTTTAATAAAAAAAACAAATTTAAATAGGGTTTTCGACAACACCAAAACGAATGTATATAATTTTTTAAAAAATTTAAAAATCCAATCCAAAAATAATTGAATTGAAAAATGCGGCTAAAACAAGATATCGATTAGATTGGATGATTTTTTTTAGGGGTGGTCATTTCGGATTTCGGTTCGGATTCAGTTCGGTTATATTTAGGTTCGGTTATTTCGGTTATAGAAAAACTATAACCATTCGATTTTTACATAAATTCCGGTTTGGTTCGATTCGGTTCGGTTATTTTTCAGTTCGGTTTCAGAAAAAAAAACTCATTTTTTTTCAAAGAAATCGTCGGTTTTTTCAGTTATTTTTTTATTCGGTTCGGCTCGTTTCGATTTCGATTTTTTTCAGGTTTAAGAAAATCATAACCATTCGGTTTTGATATCGGATTTGATTCGGATACGGTTATATCTTATTCGGTTCAGACTCAATTATTCGGTTAATAATCGAAATGACTACCTAATTTTTCTTTTCAAAAGTTGGGAGGATAAGACTTTCGGCCACAGAATTTTTTTAAAAAAAAAGGAAAAAGTAAAAAATGTAAGAAAATCTCATTTTTGGTCAACATATGTTTGGACAATGAGAACCCTGAACTGTCCTAAACCTAATTTAGGCGTTTTGACCTCCTCTCATCTGCGTTGACCCTCTTACCATGGATTCCCAAACATTTACTCCTTCGAAATGTTTTTTTAAAGACACAAAAAAAAACATACACACATTCTCTGTAACCATTTTTTTTTTGTTCCTATTTTTTTTCCTTCTTTTTTTTCTTTTGGTTTTCTCCAAAAAACCAGAAGCTTTCCTCGTTTTCTCAGCAAATCCATTTAGCCATCATCACAATCATCTCTGTTCAAAAGATTTATGATCCATAGAGATCATTTGTATATATATATATAGAAATGAAATTGCGTTATTGCTTTACATGCTGCATGTCGGAGAGGCAATTCAGCAGAAGATCTTCAAGGCAAAGCATCAAGGACTACATTGACAATAAGAACAATATAACTTCCTTTGCCAACATCTCTTTCAAAACAGGTTTTTCTTTTAACATAGATTCAGTTTCGAATCGAGTTTAGTAAAGTTGCAGCCTTTATTCGAAAAAGTTTCAGACTTTGATGATTGATTATTCGGTATGTGGATTCGGATATGCGATGAAACCGCAGATAGTAGTAGGCGACGATACATATCG